AAGAGAAAAGGGACCAAATGTTGAAAATGTTGAGAGGCACCTGCTTACAATCTCAGCAGACATTTGTTCTATTTCTCATGTTTCTATTTTTTAACCAGGTTTAATACAGTGAAAAAACAACTTTTCCATATCAGCAGCATTAAAATTCTCCTGAAATACCAAATCCTACTTACCGTTTACTTCAATCAGGTTTGCATTTTTTTGATTCAAAATAACATAGAGCTCCCGCCGATCAGACTTCTTTCCAACAACCCAGTAATCACTCATGGCCTTCACGATGATCTCCTCATCCTCATCCACTCTGCAAGAGGAGAGTTCAGAAAGCGCCGTTCGTTATTCACATGGCTAGACGGGGAAAGCAAGCATTCCAAAACGAGAACAGGAAATGGAACGGGCGCACATGGCATTTAAAAGGCTCAGGGAGTCCTGGGCGAGGGAACCGGTGACTTAGGGGCTCCCAAGTGTGTGTCTGGAAGTGGCGCCCATGAAGGTGGTTCAAGCTTGAACCCCATGGAAAGGGCTCTGGGTCATTTGGCTTTGAAGGGACTTTCCGTGTCTTTTTTCTTAGAAAGGGGACACCTGATTGGAGAAGTGGCTGGAATCACCTGGTGAAGTCACTGTTGATGTCACCGAGAATCTTCATTAAATCCGGGTGCACGGAAGTGAGTGACACACTGGGTGTTTTCCTCATGTGAACTGTGCTCTTCTCGGCCAGATTCATGTGGTTGAAGTAAATAAACTTAAACTGGGGTTCTTTCTCAGACCTGTACAAACATGTCACAAAGACGGTTAAACTGGGGTTCTTTCTCAGACCTGTACAAACATGTCACAAAGATGGTAATACCCTGGATGGATATAGCCAAACAATACAACTAGATTCTTTTTTAAAATTTTTTTGAGATGGAGTCTCACTGTCACCCAGGCTGGAGTGCAGTGACACAGTCTCGGCTCACTGCAATCTCCACCTCCTGGGTTCAAGCGATTCTCCTGCCTCAGCCTCCTGAGTAGCTGGGATTACAGGTGCCTCCCACCATGCCCGGGTAAGTTTTGTATTTTTAGTAGAGACAGGGTTTCACCATGTTGGCCAGGATAGTCTTGATCTCCTGACCTTGTGATCCGCCCACCCCGGCCTCCCAAAGTGCAGGGATTACAGGCTTAAGTGCCCATGCCCGGCCCACCCCTCTTTTTCTAAACAAAGTTTCACGGGAGCATCGCCATCGCCACACGTTCACGTGTTGTCTGCTTTCCCACCAAAATGACACTTGAGTAGTTGTAACACATACATCTACATACAGCCCGGGACGCCTGAAATGCTTCTTATTTGGTCCTTTACCGAAAAAGGCTGCCGACCCTGCGTTAGGAGAGTAACATCTCATTCCTCCCCCAGTGCGGGGAAGGAGCGTCCCGTGGAAATGAACCTGCCTCGTGACCGAAGCCTACGACAATATGTATGTAACAAAGCTTTTCCTCCTATCATCCCCAGTGGAAATCATCGTAAAACACAGTCGCCTTTTCCACTGCAGTCTAATGAACATTTTAAATGGGATACACTTTTTATTTCCTAAACTGACTAGGCAGTGCTGTGACACTGCCTCCCAGGTCAGCGTCTGTGACCTCCTTGGGGACCTAGTGGGAAAAGCTCAGCCTCGCCCCTCCCAGGGCCCCTCCCCTCCCCTCACTGCACCCTCACTGCACACCCTGGGCCTGGGATGGAGCCGAGCACAGCCCCGCCCCGGGCTCAGAAGCCTCCTCTACTTGCTTCGGGGTTAGCAGCCATGTTCTGGAGGGCTGGGGGTGCCAGAAATCCGACCTCCGGACAAGTGGGGTACTACTGAAATACTCTACATCTAGGCAAAGAAAGAACGTGGAGGATTTAGTTTCCAGGACATGAAAAGAAACTTCTTATAAAACCAGATTTTGTTTTCAGTAGCTCCCTAAGGCTAAGGAAAGTATAATGACAAGAAAAACTGGAA